ATGCTGGTGCTATTCCTGACAGTATGGAAACTCTGGAGTGTCAAGGTTTTCCTTGTGAAGACGTCATTTATAGATAGATGGCCAGGGCGACATGTTGTCTCCGGTTTCCTTGCCACACGGTGGTATTCATTTATCAGCGTTAGATAGTTGGAAGGCTAATAAACCAGTTTCCGTTCGTTTTTAACTTATACGTATAACTGTCCAACATGGCAATCTGTAAGTATTGGTATGTACCGAAGCTAGTTTGTGGTTCAGTTCAAGCCGGTAATACGCAGTTTTAGTGGATTATTACTAAGCCTCCTCCTTTACCTAGCTTCAGCATTGTTGCCTGCGTGTTTAAGTTTACGTAGTGGCTTTGATATAGGCGGCGGTGGCTTACGCAGTAATGCTGTAAAACCATGTTTGTCGGTCTGGACTGAAGAACAGTAGTTTCCGTCCATGCGGTCTGGACGGTAACGTATGCGCTTTCAGATTCAATGGTTAGCAGCAGAAACGACGGGAAATCAATTTTTTATTTCACAGAATTGGACATTTCGAATTGACTGAATTGACATCAGTCATAATCGGGAAAGCAGAGAAGTCCATCTGCTGACGATGATCGACAGTTTGGTTGGGATGTCATATCTGTGTTAACTAAACAGTACTTCTCATTATTGAATCAGATTATATATCCGAAACTAGAAATTGTTAGAACTTCTGACGGGCGCACTGTGAACCACTGCTTGAAACAAACTTCTTGCTTTATGGACTAAAATTTCATGATGCGAAAGCTGACAAATTTCTGACAACTACATTCATTTTCTGTGGGCAGTTATTATCAGAAGTTGACTTAATCAGTTGCGTTGTTCGAGCGAGTACGAAGTTGGATTACTCACATGTCTTCGAGGTTCATAAATGAATACCATTAACGCGGGACACAACAGGAGACTACATGCTATGCTGGTCACCGAACTGCAGATGTAGCCTTAGAAAGTGAATAACAGTAACATTGGGACAGAGATTAGCATTGCACCATTAGCTTCATTAAAGGCGCGACAAATAGCGTTTAGCCAACATCCTAACAACTACGAACTTTTCTTTTGAACGAATTAAAAAAAAATTCGGAAATAACAGAAAATGTTATTTTCCTACGGGCGGTATCGTACTAGTGCTCTGTTAGTAAATGCGTAGGATCGGTGTTAATTTTTATGTACGAGAAACATTTGTTGCGACAAATCAGCGATTACGATGAATACTTGACTTGTGACTCTATGCAAGTGGAATATCTGGCGCCATCAGTGCTGTGGTCCGATGATAAAGAATAGCCACGATGACCTGTTATGGCCATTTTCATGTACAGCGTAAAATCAGCTCCTTGTTGAGAATACAGCAGAATTTATTTATACGTTTTCAAACATCTTTTTTGCAGCATTCTGACGATTCGTTGGCATCATTAAATACAAGACCAAAGGATACGTATGCGTACTACCGAATAAGCACCTGATATTCGTGCCAATCGCAAATGAAACCATGTTTCGCCAATGCCCTCGGTGACACTAACAGTGACAACACCTGATGCGAAAATTGATTACAGGCAAATACATAGGTATTGAAAAGTAAGAAGTAATTTGCCTGGCGAACAGTGAAACAAGTGAGGGACTGAAAGTACATTCTGTAAATGGAAAATTAATTATTTAACATCCTGATCCTTCAAAGGATTTACACAGCGTAATCATACGTCTACTTGTTACTAGAAACTAAAGGAAGTAATCGTCAGACTGTGGTTCCAGCGTATTTGAGCACCTGCAGGTGTGTGGGTGCTGTTTTTGACAGTCGATCCAGAATATCTGAGTTATTGGTACTGCATTACTGTGCCCGCGGATAGTGGCAACTGAATGGCTTTGTTCAGCCCAACTCAACTGATGTACAAACGCGCTTTTGTTCGATCCAGCATTGAGAAGTGGCACAGCATCCACGCACTGCAGGTGCTCAAATACCACATAGCTGCGTATGGTAGAATAGGCATCAAGAAATAAGAGGGTGGTGCGAACCTGCCATAGGAACCCGGCACAGAATTAGGGTAGTTGTTCTTGCCGACGACATTGAAAATTGCCATTGTCACCAGTCGCCTCGAAATATCGGGATAATCAGTGTAATTGGCGCCTGAACTCTTCACACATCCGCATATTAAAACTCAAAATGTTACCTAATGACCGCAGATTTATATCAACCAGTGAAAAGGAATATTTTGTGCTGCACTGCGCTCGCCGTTTCTCAATATCATATTAATTTAGTGCGTTAACACGAAGTACAAACAGATTTATTTGTTTGTAACTGAACCTTAACTCGTTAGCTGATTGTTCATTTTTTGCTGAGACCGATGTTTGGCGCATTACTCCAAAACAAAATATACCTTGTTGCACCGCACCTTTGCTCCTGGTTGTTTAGAACGTGTGTGTGGGGGGGGGAGGTAAATTAAGCAGGTTGCCACTCAATATAATTTTGGCATTTGCATCTCGCATAATTTCTTTTGCTGCAGGAACCTGATATTGACGGCAAATGATGTTCAGCAGCTGTTCATTATATGCTGCCGCATTAGCCTGTTATTTCGTACGCTACAATGTGTTATTTAGCGATTAACGCGTCCAATGCCAGACCTCATTGATCGTTCATATTTCGCTGTGGTTACGTTCGGTGGGATTTGCACCAGAGAAGATCATTTTACCTGTACAGTCGCCGTACGGTCATTTCTGCAGATTCAATGACCATGATAACAATTTTTCATTGTGTTTTGCTCTTTACTTGTTTTTTCCTTTTGCGCCAGACGACTGAACGTCAGACGTCCATTCGATCGATTCCTTCGGATTTTAACGTTTCATGCGTATAACTGTTGTATTATGTGGATATATGATTAAAATGAAATGTTGGAGTGTATGAATATTCGCATAACAAAGTCATTGACTGCAGCTTTGTTACTTGCCTTTATATTTATATGAAATTTAAAGTATTTGCGGTCACTTATAATCGCCTGTTTCATGGCGGTTATGCACGTCTTACTTTTATTGAATTTTCGTACGAATATATCGCTGTTGTGAACTCCATCTAAGTTGAATTGCACCTTGACTATAATTAAGTTGTTTCTTATTGTTTTACTTCCCGTTATTGTGTTCCTTTCTTTTTACTTCTGGATCTTCCGAAGGTTGAGAGTTTACTGCTTGAACCAGAATACAAAAGAACCTTGATAGCAGCATCGATAGCAGAATCTTTTTAGCGTCGATAGAAAGAGATATGCTCAGAATGTATGAATAAACAACAGTGAGTCATTTAAATTCACAGTGGCTTTCAACGACGCTTTAACAGGTCAAAGTTTAAAACGTCGTTCAAAATCATTGTGGAATTTACATTATTCATGAACGGAAAACGACAAAACTTTCAGAAGTCAAAATTTAAACAAGCCATAACAATCTATGGTAAAAATTATCTATCTTATCACTTATTAAGCGGGAGTCGTATGACACGGAGTAACCAGAATATGCTTAGCGTTAAGTTCTTTGTGACTATTCTGGAGTCATTTGCTTGAACTAATTTTGGGAGGGTTAAAATTTGCGGTCCATCGATGACTTGGATAAGCAGATGAACATGGCCGATTTGGCGTGATGAAAATCGTTGTTAGTTGCGCCTATGAATGCTTAGGGCATATCTTTTGGCAGCGATATATTTATCTGACAACGATTTGCTCTCTTCACGTCGCAGTCCTATCGTCATTCTTTTTTATAACTATTTTCCCTAGTGCTTAATTTTCTGCACTATTTGATACTATTGTTACGGCCTTATGGACTGCTTATTCGTTAGAATCTTTGCTAATCCCGTGTTGTATGGGTTTTCATTATTCGCAGGCTATCTTGTTCTCGATAGCACTTTTGCCTCAGCAAAAATACTGAGCCGAAAATGTAGTCTGTGACAAATTGTCGATGCTTGATTTCACATAAGTTGTCATTTGAGTTGCCTAGCTATGCAGAATTAAAATAATGGATGCGGGCCGTGAATTCTGATTTGTCTGTTCGTAATCGGACTGGAGTTTCATGAAATGGGCTAGAAATACCTTCATATGATACCGTATAATTTCGAAAGCAAAGCTGTACCAAACGCGTGTTCTGTCACTGCTGCTTCCTGGAGCAAAGGTTTGAGAGTTGCAGTAGACCGAATTCGATTAACCTTGACATCTTCAGATCTTACGCATGAAGAGTCAGAAATGGCTGTTTGACAATTAAGTGTCAGGGTTTTGTCCTGAACGGAAATATTGCTGATTTTGTAGGATCACGTTCAACCATTGACGTAATTTGCCGCGACAGAATGACTTGTTTATGTAACGAGGTTGCCAACAGAAGTTCCTGTCCATTGTGCCCTCACAACGACAATAAGCGTTTGCAGTGTGATATCGCCGTCGCGTTCTTGACGGTGACCTTGCGGCGGATGATGGGCCTCATGGATGAGTCAGGCCGAGTAGCTTCTCGTCGATTATTGTGCAGTTCAAGGCATGATTTTGTTTACAGTACATGACCTTTGGTCTCTTTCAGTCCAAAAGTTTTCTGAAATATTTAGATGCTTAAATTAGCCATAGCAGCATCAAATTGATCGATCTTTCCTAGCCGAGTTTGGGGCTGGCTGTGGTTTCGTCTGGTTCGACCGCATGCCGATTTGCATTGAGCATATCCACGTGCAGTCATCGGGCTAGGCGAACCTCGTTAATCGTTGGGTTGCAGTAAATTTGTAGTTTTATCAACACGTTATTCAAGATTGTTTATTTTTTTCACATATTCATGTTTAACGACAATCTTCGCATATAAGCGCAGTTCGTCGGTAATCTTACAACCCGTTTGGTGGCATTTGACATTGTTTCAGTGAAAGAACGGAACTCGCAGTGGGTTTTAGGATTTTGCTAAAATAAAACCGTGTTCGCTGCAAATATCCACAGTTCCACGAACATAAGCGAACTTAGATAGATGTCTGTATGTTTTAGGATGGACGACAGTGTAATCGAAGCGCTGATAAAGATTCCAGAACAAGAATTGGTGACCACGCTGCGTCTGCGACACTGTATCGCGCTGTTAGATCAGTTTCATGCCGATGGCGGTGGTTCTCTCTACTTGACGCTGACTGAACTTGAGCCCCTTTTGAAAGACGCTGTGCAGATTCAGTGCGGAGGGTTCGAAGCCTTGCGCAAGAGCTCACTAAAGAACCTAGCACAGCGCAGTGCGTGTTTCCTGACAGAGACGCGTTACTCGGATTTGCCCGAGCTGCAGAAACTTGTTCATATTCTTGTTTTGTTGGCTGATTGTCTAACCTTTGACCAGAAGCGGAAAATTCTTGCTGCTGTGTTGGAAGTCGATTGTGAATGTCGTTGCTTCGTGGAATTGATTTACAACGCTGAGTTGAACGCCGACCTGTTGCTGATGTTTTCAGATATCGTAGACTTGATCCTCAGTTGCTATGAACCGGACGTTTGCTGTGACTCGCACTGCGAAATTCTTTGGAACTGTGTTGCGTATGTGCTGCATCGCGCCTTCGAAACGAACTCGCTGCTCTGGTCGATCAAGCTGGTCAGTTGTCTGACCGAGAGGTTGGTCGAAGGCGCGTCATGGCCGCTGCTGACAAATCCTGGAACACTAATTTTGCTGAACAAGCTGCGGTACTTCTCGGCCTGGTCGCCATGTGCCCGGGTCCGATCGCTTCCGGTGCCAGATATGACGATTGGTGAACAGAGCCTGTATTTTTGCACTGTCGTACATATTCTTGTTCGCCGAAACTGTCTAGGGGTGCTGAGTGACGAAACGGTCGACCTGGTGGTGCAGATGTTGAGACGCGGCTTGGTGTGCGACGACGCCACGGTCCGTAAGCATTGCCGCGCTACCGTCACCGTGCTGTACGCCCAGCGGCAAGTGCACACCCCGTTCAGCGTCGGAAGGAAATGGCCCGACTTTTTGACGTTGCTCGAAACGCTTGACAGCCAGCAGGTAAACGTACTGTCTGAAAACAAACGTGGTAAATCAGAAATTACATCATTCAAATTTGATACGCTTCGAAGGTTCTTTCCGGTTTACAACCGAAGCTGAATAAGCTAATTTCACACATAGCCGTGCGTCTGGGGCTACTGAACGCCGTATGATCAGAAGACGGATCTAGCTTTCATCTGACCTAGTGTCAGGGAACCCCCTAACAGCTTGACTGGTAGTCGGAACCATCCAGGGGTTGGAAAACGACTGTCACTGTTCAGTCGGTCGACAAATGGGCCTTTCTCGGTAGAAGCAGTGTCGATCACTAATTCACAGACAGGCACCTGCTCACTTTGGAAAAACGTGACTGCTCTACCACGTTTTATGTCTCCCCTGTGGTAAGGAGGCAAAGTGTAAACGAAAATTCAACCAGAATAAATATGAGGACAAACTATCACTCCAACCCCTAGAGTACCATGTTCAGTAAAACAACGCGTCTCACTTTAATATGGCGGAAATTGCCCAAGGTCCGGTTAGCGACGACTACTCCCTGATTCCCTTGTCTACACGAGCACAAACCGTCCACGCTAATGGTCAGATTTTTCAGTGGTGTCTTTGCATGTCCTTAAATCTGAAATTGGCATGCCTACTGAACGCCCTCCTCCAGCAGCTTTATTGTCTCCAGATTGCCGTTGATGGTGTCACTGAAGCGCGCTTGGCACAAAGCGCAGAAACTCAACTGCAAGACGCCTAGCTTCTAAAATTTGGAGGAGAAAAACCTCTATATGGGGTCATCGTAGCAGTCAGCCACCTCTCAGCGGTACAAGCATTGCGTGAACCCTGATCTCTCTCCGTCTGCTTTGTGCGAGCTTACAACATAGACATGAATACCTAGCCGTCATTATTACATACACGCCAACCGAAGTTACTATCTGTTAAGAACGAGATAAGTTCTATAACCAGCTGTCTTCTAAGGTGCAGGGTATACCCCATCACCACATCCATGTCACTTTGAGTGATGAAAGTTGTAACTAACACTATCCGTGCCGGCTTCGACACGGTCGTTGGTCTGTCGATTCTGGCTCGCTCAGCCACACAATCCATGTCGTTCTTCTGCGCATTTGTTAGTATGATAATAAATTGCAAATTGAGCAACTTTAAATCATCATCTTCCATCGCCGCTTCTCCTTTCGGGTCGCGGAGGCAGATGCGTCAGACAGTGCTTCCAACGTTCCCGATCCTGTGCCACAGCCTTCAGCAAAAAACAAATTGATTCTAAAACATACTCCTCCCATATGTTTGCACCACGTTAATCTTGGCCGTCCCCTGGGCCTTTTGCCGGTCTGATTTGCAAGGAACAGTTGCTTACCTTCCTTTCTGGAGGCATTCGCAACACATGCCCAAACCATCGCAGCTGTGACCTCTCAATCTGGAGAAGCAAAGGCTGTATTCCAAGGCT